AAGGTGCAAACATTAAGGCTTATCTAGGGCATGGCACGAAATTATTTGGGAAAAGCAACCTTGAAGGCTCAACTTATTTCAGCATGTCATGTTGAAAATTAATTGCAAATAGATCGTTAAGTGTTCACTGAGCTTAGCATGATGGTAGGTGGGTACTAAGAGCATGAACAAACAAAATCTGAGACAGTTTCTTAAGGTCAAGGTTATGGTGAGCACTGTGCTTGGGTTTGGATGTAGTTTGTTTTCTATACACTTTCCTCGAATTAACCCACTTCTATTTAAAAATATTTATTAACTCAAGTTTAAATCCAAATAAAAATCTAAGGAGATTTTGTTTTCATTTGGTGCTAAAGGCACATCACAGTGATTACTAAACAGACTTAGAATGAAGCACAGGTAAGACTGTCATTGAAAATTTCACTTGCCTCACACGTGAGACGATGATAGTCTCTGTGAGAAAACTATTGTTTTATTGTGAAATTAAGACACTTAAATGGGTCCTAGTGGTTGGGAGTGACTAGAACCAGATGGTAGGTGCTAGAATCAAGAAAAGCTGAATGCAACTTCTGGAAAGGTCAAGAATAATAGCAAGGTCTAGGCTAAGAGATGTGGCCAGGGGTCAGGCAATAAATCCGTACTACAATGGGTATGAAGTGGTGAGAGCAATTGCAGACTGGCAGCAATAAAAATTAAGAGCCAGGACTAAGCACATAGGAAACAGGAAAGAACAATCGAAGCTAAGGAGGCAGAGTAAAGGAGAAATAAGCAAACCAAGTTTAAGTTAGCTTAGCCAAGCAACTTGTTAATCAGCCAAAGTCAGCATCTTGATGGCCTTGTATTTTTAAGTGTGGGTAAACTGCCCACCCTTAGCTTCCACTGTGATGATTCTGGCTTGGTGAACCTTTGGTCTTGGCAAAACCTGACTGATAGGAACCCTGTCTCATTTGGCTGCTGCATGGACAGGTCTTGTTCAGTAGTCTCTCTATTCCAATTCACTGGGACGAGGAGTTTGGGTGCAGGAATGTAAGTTCATATAATTCTCCCCTTGGTTAGGTGTCAGGAATCTCCAGGTTTAAGTCCTCAATTTCTGGTTTTTATTTCAGATTTTTTTAGCCCCTGTGGAATCTCCATTCTTAGAGCTCTTCATCTATGGCCTGCTGGTCAGATATAAAAATCTGTCATGGAACTGCCTTCTCTGCAGAAGCTTTAGATGATGTCTGGAGTGGTGCATTCAAAGAGAAGAAACCTGTCCTTTTTGAGCCTCATAAACATAAATAATTACATAACAGTCCCTGCATCAAGTCAGGTGTTACTAGGTTCAGGCCTGGAAATGTGGGGCTTCCTTTTCCTGGGGAGCCTTCCTTCTCCATTCACAAACCAGGACAGAGACTGAGTCACTGGCACTGAACTCCAATCCATTTGTCCTCAAGCTTCCCTTCAGGGACAGGCGGACTGTTGTTCTCAGTCAATAAGTGGTCTGTTAGCATCTTAAATGAATATTCTCCTCCTCTTGAAAACCCTTTGTCTCTCCACTGCCTGCAGTCTTGAGCCCTGCAAATCCTGAGCATGTCAATTGAGCCTGAAAGGGCTCCTCATCCCCTGGACAAAGAAGCCTCCTGCAGCAGTCTGCCCTCTCCTTGTTATATACTGTGTGCTCCAGCCTCCTCACAGCCAGGTAGAGGCTGGGGTATCCCACAACTCGTCTAAGACTGAGTAGTTACCAGTGTGCAGCTCCACATTGTTCATCTTCTCTTTTCCTGGTGTGCAAATGCCAGCCACAGGTCAAAGTGACAGCTCTCTCTCTGTCTGTATATTTGTTATATATGTGAGCATGTACATACACATACATAAATGAAGTAGGTTAATCGATGTGCTATGTAATGAAGCTTTGCACGAGTTTTTCAGAAATTCAAAGCGAATGCGAGTAATCTACGTCTACTGGAGTTATGTGTTTGTAAGCTCCAGGAAGGATGTGGAGCAAAGGAGATGGGGAGAGGGGATTCACAGCTACTGTGAGGAATGAATGGTTCTCCACTGGTAGCTCTTTGGAGGCCAGGAAGCAACATGAGAACACAGGTAATAATTTGTGGAGGTGCATAGATTTGTACTGATTAGGATTCTTTCATAACCTAGGAGTGAAAGCCAGTCATGGCTTCTTTAGGGTTGTCATTAAACGTGTTTAGGGGTGATCATAGCACTATGCTGTAAGAAATTTGGGAATAGAAATGAAGAACATAAAACATGCTACCTGAATTTTTGTCCAGCCCTTCTGTTGTTCACACAGGAAGTGCCATGAACAATTCTGTAGGTGCTTTTTCCTGGCTTGATGTTATCTGACTATGGAAGCAAATAAGAGACTTTTGTGTGTGATAACCAGGAATGGAACTGCCAGCCTTGCAGAGGTCGTGATATAATCCCAGTGCCCTTTCCATAGTGCTATTGGGAAAAAAAAATGGACATTTCCTCCCACAGCTGATGGAGATATAGTCCACAGTAACCCTGGTGCAAGAACAATAAATGTGGACACTCCCTAAGGTGTAATACCATATATAGTCTAGAAGATGATTGTATATAAGTAAGTTCAATTGCTGGGATGAACCATGTGGTGAAGACATAACCAAGTGTTTCACACTTTCAGATTAAAATTACTAGTTCTTCAAGTTGCTTATGAAGTTGCAATGACTTTACAGTAATATTTTTGTGAAAGTAACTTGGAAACAAATTTGACTGCAGTTTCGCTGTTTTCAGTGCATGATTTGGGGCAGAGTTAGGGTCCTGGAGAAGTACTGGAAAAAAAGAGGATATCATGTGACAGGAATCTCCAGTTGATCAAAATGAAAGAATTCCCCAATCACCACATGGTCACAACTGCTTTTAAGGTATCCTTCAAGGAAGGAAAAAATCAGAAGCAGAGCTGCAGGCTTGCCTCTGGGCTAGGAAAAGAACTCTCTTCCCAGGACTGCCTCCAGTTCTACATTCTAGGTATTTCCCTTCCAGGTCTTTTTTCCTGACACAAAGGAAAACCCTCCATATCTTCAAGCCCTATTTTTCTGACTTTGTAACCCTTCTTAAGAGTAACCCTTTTGAAACGGTCTCTTGGAGATGTAATGTGGAAGTTTCAGTGTCCTGTTTCACAGAGTGGCAAGAGGTGTGCTGGGACACGCAACTATTACAGTGAACAGGGAATGAATTACTAATGAATATGAGAGACAGTTTTAGAATCAGGCTTTCTTCAGGTTTTGCTTTCAATGTGTGAAGGTGGTCGCCATGTTTTGCAATGGGTCTTGGTGGCTATCTTGAAGGCTGTTGAATGTGAGGTAATATTGATATTCCAGCTGGGGGGAAACAAATCTGCAGGAAGTTCTCCTGTGCTCTGTAGGCAGGGTCTTATTTTGTATTGCACAGCTTTTCATGCATTACTTTTGAAAGCATTTCCTTCCGTGACTATAATTCCTGTTATTAGTTTTAGAAATAAATTCAACTGCTATCATAACATCAGAATCAAGGTTTATGCTGGAGAAAAATATGCCTGTAACTTAAGAAAGGAGAAAGAATCAAATAGCATTTAACAATGGGGTAACACAATCTGTGCACATTCAGCCATCACTCCTTTCCTGGCTTTGGCACAGGGAGTGAATGCTTTTGCTTTGTGTCCAGGCTGCAGGTTTGGGGGAGAGAAAGCAAAACTGCACATACTCTGCAAGGAGGAGCTATAACGTAGATTGATCCAGTTCAGAAGAAAGGAAATGTTTTCTTCCAAACCATTACACAAATTCTGGATGAGCATTAAACTGTGTAGTTTCACCCTGAATGCTTTTCAAACAGAATGCTTCTTTCCGGAGTGTGCATATCAATATAAGTAAAACGGCATAAATGTCACGCTCAGTCTGTCCGAGCGGCGTAGTTTTGTTCTCGTGCAATGGGAGCAGGTGGTGGGAGGTTGTTTTGATGGGTTGAGAAGCTCCTCCCCTCCTTCCCCAAGCAGCAGCAATCTCATCTGCGTCAGCAGTAATTGTGTGCCTTGCACTGCTTTTCAGTGAGGGTGAGTGCAAAAGATACATCAATATGAGGTATCAGACTGAGGCGTAGATGTTCCTTTTAAGTGGCTGCTCATTTCCTTGAGCCATAATATGGGCTAAAGGTTAACTTACACAATCTCCGTGGAAGAACAATTTCTCTTTTTTGGGAAGGGAGAAGGAGGGGGAAAAGGGCGTTGTTTCATATCCTTTCCCACCTATAGACTCCATGTGATGTACAGTGCTGCTCATGCAGATTTTTTTTTTTACCCCCCACTGGATTATTTGCTAATCAGACTTCAGTGCAGTGGAGATAAGAGCGAGACTGTTGCCTAGCTCCCGAGCCCGGAGCCAGGACCGCCGCCGCCGCTCCGCCGTCCCGCCTCTCCATGGGCCCGGCGCGGCGGAGCTGTCCGAGGTGCTAGGATGATGCTGGCTGCGCGGGGGGTCAGGGCAGCCGGATTGCAGCAGGAGAGGAGCCCCACAGTCCTGCTGGCACCCGAAGGTAGGCTTGCTCTTTGTTTGAGAATTCCTGATTAATCAACAACAGCACCAACAGAGTCAGGCAGCCGGTGAGAGCAAGCCTGCCTGTAGTCACGGGGGAGAGAGAGACGATGCCACAAGCCAGACTGCTTCAGACCTTCTGTATTGAGTGGCAATGAGCGAGCGAGCGTCTTTCCTTGCTGCAAGAAGCCATTTGGATAGGATATTTGCTCTTCCTTATATTCCTTTCTTTTTGTCTCCACGGAACATATTCAAATGAGGCACCTTAGAAATCTCTGTGTTAGTGCATATGATGGTGCTGTAATCGTCTGTGTTGTAAAGTGGGCAAAAATCATCCAGTTTCTTCTCTGCTGGACCTCAAAGCAGGGTGTTGTTTATACCCTCCCATTATCCATACCCTCTCTTCTCTGAATGTGGATTTAAAGAAGCAAACACTTGTCTTTTCTTTCCACTGCGTTGTTTGTTTTTTTTTTTTTTTTCAAAGCCAAACTTTCCATGCCATTTTAATCATATGCTAAGAAGATCTGTAACATAACACATTGACTTGTAGTGATGTCGAATTCTACAATCTGGGCAATTCTGCCAGCAAGATTTAATGCACTTTAACTGAAGAAAAAACTGAGCCTAACTGAAAATCTGTTTCTTATGGTGCTGAAATATCCCTTCCGACTGCACTGAGGTAACCACAGGAAAGGGCTTTTACAGGCAAAAGTCACCTTTGATTATTGCACTTAGTGGTCCCCGTGGACTTAGATTTTGGTACGTACATATTTTAATACATCCTATGAGCATGCTAATGAAATATGGTGCTAATTAGAATGAAAAAATAATATTACGAAGTGAAATAATGAATAGTCAGAATGCATAATGAGGTTGCATGTATTTTTAGACTGTATTAATCAAGCCATTGCTAAACTAAAGGCCGAAGTCTATTTGACTGGTTTTGTGTACTTCACGTGTTGATTGTGCTTGTAATAGAGACGTTTTGTAGCTGAATTTTTTTTGTTTGTAAAAAGCCCTGTTAAATAATTAAAACCATTCTTTTATATTTTCTGATTAATTAATTGAAATAATTTCCAACATCTATGATAGTTACTTATCAGACCTGCTGTACCATTAATATTTTACAGCATATGAACATGATGCTGGTGTAGTGAAATCTCCATTTCATTTTCTTAAAGAGGAGGAAAAAATAAGTCCGTCAGCAAGAAGCTTGTGATTTCTTCTGAGTTCATATGCACTCCTGTTTGCACACAGAATGTCTGTGTATATGTCTGTGTGTTGTGTGATTTTATTTCTTCTTGTTGTTTATAAGTCTTCTGCATCATATTGGGAAGTAAAATGTCATAATTGCACTTAAGTGTTGGCCATTCTGAACCTAGGTTTGTAATTGTCCAATACCCATGTGGTTAGGAGGATGCCTCGTTTTCCTCAGGGGATAAAAGTAATAAAAGTGATGCTGTATTGCAAAGTAAACAACAGCTTTTTATGTCCTGGAGTCATAGAGGAGTCATTGTAAGCAAAGACCTTTTTCCTTTTCAAGAGGCATCTGCAAGGGAGCCAAAATTCCAGTCTCAGGGTATTTTTTTTTGCTTCTTAAAACTATAGGGAACACAACTCTTCCATAGGAGGAATAGAACATCTATAGAAATGGACTATTTCTTTAAATCCATCCAGTAGCATTCGCAGTCTACTGAAGGAGAGTCTTTTAACCTCTTGAAGTGAAGGGCTCAGCACTACTTAGCTTCAGTGATTTTGCCCAGGTGCTAGAGCTCATGCTGTGCAGTACAATGAGGACTGGGTATATAATCTGTCCCAGTCAAAATATAAAACGTATTTTGTACTTTTGAATAATGGCAGTGGTTCTTTGGTTCTTTTTTTCAAAATATGTGCATATATAGTTGTCAAATGACACACAATAGGAAACTTGCAGCCAGTTTCAGAAGGTCTTTCCTCTTTGACATTGGAATTTAATGCGTCACCGTGTGTGAAAACAGTAAAGCCATCTCATTGTTAGGAATGAGCAGGGGATGCAACTCTAAGAAGCATGTCTTAGCAATTTGTATCATCACATTCAAGTGCTTGGATATTTCAAATCTCACTTGATATAAGGCACAGTTATGATAAGAGTTCTGCAAACTAGTCTCTAGTATATTTTTACATCACCAAATTTTTGTTGGTCACAGCAAAAGTATTTTTTTGTACATCCAATACCATTAGGTCCTTATTAGTGCTGCTGTGGTCAGCAGTTTGTGAAAACTGGATATGGCTGGCCTGTCTACTTTGCTCTTATTTTCTTGCAAGCAACTAGAATGCAACAGCTCAAACTCGAGGGTTGATAGGCTGATTAACATCCTTGATTTGTGCAGAATCCTTCTAATATACTGAATTTAGTGGAGGGAGTTGATAGGTAATGTGAAAGCAGATGTGTTTTCAAGGAGATGAAGCAGTATTTGGGAGGGAATCAGGCAGGACTGGAGAGGTGTGTAGTAGGTCTTGATAAATTAGATATTGGATTCAGGACTCTGGGCAACTCCCCACTTGCTATTCCAGGCTCTGTTCTCCTGCGTTAAAATTAAAAAAAAAAAAAATCCCTCTGCTTTGGAAGAAGGCAATCAGTGCCTTTGTCATTACTTCAAAAAGCTCCTTCAGTTTAATGTCAGCATTGCCAATTTTCAACGCAGCACAGCTGCAGCTTATGGCTGTCAAGCAAACTGAAAAGCAACTGATATTTTGGGGATCCTCATGTGAATAAGAAGGAGAATGCCATGTCTGAATCTTCACGTGTGTAGCACTGCTTGGATACTGTGATATTGGGTCGATTACTCCTCATATTCTGAAATCAATATTTTTGCACACTGATCATATGAAAAGGAGGAGCTTTGGGACCGAGAATGTTGTATATTTGGGATCAGAGCAAACAGTTAAATTAGAAGTAGGGTATGCAACAGTCTTGTGAAACACAATGCATTTATGCTCCCATAGAAACTGTGTCTGAATCAATACAATGATCTTGAATTTAGTTATGTAAATATTTCTAAGCAAACCAGGAAGGGGACTGCTTGCCCTTGCCAGTAAACCAGATGCACTGGCAGGAAAGGAAAAAAAATCATCTTTCTTGCTTTACTCCTCCCATGCTGACAGCTGAAAGCACGAGCCAGGGCAGTGTGAGCTGCTCTGTGCTCCTTTGCCAGTGTCCCTCTGATTTGGGGGTACCTGGAGGGGCAAGTGTCAGTGAGTATGAAGGGGTGTGATTGTGTTTTTTCTCTCAGAGAGGTTTCACATCGTGTTAGTTTGACCTTTAAGAAGCAAAGTGAACATGACTGAGAACTCCTTCTTTGTCTCCATGTGCTCAGGTGAATTTTCAAAGATGTTCATGTTCAGTGAACACTCAGAACCAAGTTCCTCCAAACAATTTTTGTTGACCTTGTAGTTTGTTGACTTCCAACAGCTGAATTCCAGTGCTTTTCCTCTGCCCTGCTGTCTCCTTTTGTTCCTTCACAATGAGGAGGAGAAAAAGGAGTGTCTAAACAATTTTTCAAATGGTGCAACTCCTAGTTAGAATATTCCAGGGCTGCTTGATTTCAGAAAAAAAAAAAAATGCACAGAAAGCAATTTGATTGCAAATACTTAGGTGACTCTGTATGGCACTTGTCACTGACTAACAAAATCCCTGACCACAGTGTGCATGGTAGGGGCACCAGAATGGTGGTGCCTCACCTACAGCTTGCATTACTTATTTAGCAACTTGCATTTGCATAGTTTTAATCAAATATAAATGTACTCCAGCACAACACTTGCCTGTACTTGTGTCTGCCCTGGCAGATGGTTAGGAATTGCTCACTGCCTGAGTTTACAAGTCAGCAGAACCTTTGATCAAAGGTTGATCAGTGCTGTCTGCCATTTTCCAAGGAGGGGGACAGCAGGCACTGCATGGGACTCCATGGGCCACATGTATTGGTTGCAGCTTATTGCAGTTGTTATGCACATTTATTAGGGTAACATGGTATCTCTGCAGTGGCATTAATACCTGTAAATAAAATTGGTCCTAGTGTGCCTCGTAAGGAATGCTAATACTATAAAAATGTTTACAGTAATTAGTTAAGCTTTTTGCATTTTTAATCCCTGTTTAAGTATAGTATGCACAACTGTAAATTATTAGTAAATGCAGTGAGGCTGTAAAATACCATGCATGCAGGAGGTACAGGGGGTTTGGTCCAGAAAATGCTTGCTTGCTTGCACAGAGGCTCTTTGGAGTTGGTGCCATATGTGCAGGTTTAAGGTTCTGAAATATGTGTTTTCCCCAGCTACTTCCAGGAAGTACCCCAAACTGAATTTGGTGTTATGAGTGTGCAAGCATCACAGTCATGGGAGGAGCTCAATAGCTACAGTTGCTCAGTATGGTTGCAGGATTGGACCTCAGTTAGGACAAAGAATATATCTTGGTCTATCTATTAAACAGTGTGTAAGTTTTGTCATTCTACATGAATTTAGTAATAGGAAACATCAGCAATAAACTAGCACATAAAGAATCTCATCAGCACATACAGCAGAATAAAAGCTTTTTATTTCAGTCTTTTTGCAACTGGAATGACTTTATCCTCCTGTTCAAAAAATAAACATCATAATAAAAGGAGATTCAGTATATCCTAAGTGGTAGCTCATTTTTGACTTACAAAGTGAAAGGAAAACAATGAGGGAAAAATATGCAGTATTGTTGTCACGAAAGAGAATGCGAAGTAGATGAAGTTCTATGTCTTGGGGAAAAATGAATCAGAACTGCATTTATTTAAAGCCTGTTGAAGTTATCTTCAGTATAAAATTTTCTACTATATTTCAGGAGTAAAATCTGGACAAATCAATGACAATACTGCCATTGAGTTTACTAGAGTGAGGTTTTTCTGTTGCGCAGGTTTATTTCAATTTAATTGAACATATGCAGAAACAAGGCTTTATTAGAAGTCCAAAATGGAAAAAACCAGTGTAATAGCCATCTGCAGGGGGGAAATGGCCTGGACTTGAACCATCAAAGAGCAGATATCATTTAAGGAGTTCAGAGACAGTGGATTTAGAGCTGTCTATGCTGTTAGCATTGGCTTTAGTCAGGTAGGTGTCATGCTGTAGAGACACACTCCTAGGAAGGGGCTTTGGTAACTGGACTTACATTTTTTAATCAGCAAGGTTGGGAATTGGTCTAAAACAATGTCTGCTGAAACACCAGTAACATTGGTAGAATCTGTTTAGCTCATTATCAGCTTTCCAATTTACTTCTTTGCAGATAGTGTGCCACTTATGGTGAATATATGGAATGGCTGAATGCCTGTTCCAACCCAGTGGAGTTCTAGTCTGTTCCAATGTCAAAGCTGTGTAAAATGCCATGCATGCACGTTGGGCTGCACTAAGACCTCCTTCACTGGTTTTACCCTGCAGGGATTAGTAGGAGATGCTTATACCCATGCCTGAAAATGTTTAAAGATCATTTCAGTGACCCTGAACATCAGCCTTATGCTCATGTTCAGGTTTAGTTGATAGAAAAGGTTGTCTGGGAGGTAGAAGAGGTAATAGGAGCAGACTCTTTGCATTCTCTGAATCTTCATCATTTTAACAGTCATGTCATCATTGTATAGATATAATTTTGATATACAGACATGGGGAACAAGAGAAAATTATTGGTGTGCTTTTAAGGTATTAACTGCCTGAAACCAGATGCTTGTTGCCGTTGTCACTTCAAGTAATCAAAAACGGGGAGAAAAACATTCAAGGGTGGAAAAATATTTCTCTGGTTTTTTTCATCCCTTGCATTCTCATGGTCAGGGCTGTGCCTGATAGCCCACAGTGGATTGCTGGAATCCTGAAGAGCATTTAATTTATTTATTTGTTTATTTATTTATTTAGGAGCAGTGCCTATTCAGATCAGGATTTTACTTGTTCAGCTATGTGATAAAGATTAGAAATATGACATTACATTAGGAAAAGGGGGAAGGATTTTTGTTGCTGGTCACACAGGAACCCTGTCCCTAAAAATCTGTGTGCAGACTGGATTCTCATTGTCTATTCAATAAGATCACTTCTAGTTGTAGTGCTGGCAGGGTTCTCAGGCTGATTCCGAGAAGTCACACAGTCCTTCTTCGGGGAAGGGAGGAATGCTGTAGGAGTGAATAAGCAAACGTGCCTTTGAGAGCTGAGTTCAGCTTCCAGGTCTGCCTGCAGGTCACTCAGTCCCTCCTGCAGCGACTCCCCAGTTGTAAAATGAGGACCCCACACAATACAACTCAAGGTTGTCCTGTCTCTGGACCTTACAGGACTCAGTGTTTAAAATAACATGGCAAAACTATTTTTTTTTAATAAAGTTCTATTTTACTTATCTAGTAAGTAGTTAATCCAATGCATAGACTTTAGAGAGAGACAGCATATCTCTTGAAATTCTGCCTTGCCTTTAGTCTCCTGTAGTATTTACTGATGTGTCAATCCACCAGAGTTCTTGCAACTCCCAGGATGTCTGTTGATGAGTGGAAAACCTTTGGGGCCTTTCTGAGAGCTTTTAGGCTACCTGCCATAGAGCCAGGAATGACCTAAGGGTCTAAGTGTGTCTGCTCCTTGCTGCTTAGCTGGAGGTGCTGTGAACCCAAGTGCCTGTCATACCTGTGGAAGAAGTATGGAAGTCTGGAGAATTTCAGGGCTTTAGAGTTCTGAAGGACCCAACTCAGCTGGGCTGTCTTGTCCATTCTTGAGCCTCAAGCTAGCAAGGTGTTGGGCAGCAGATGACCAGGGTTTATGGGCTCATATCTACATTACTAAGAAATACAGGAAACTATTTTACAATATTTCTTTCTAGATTTTGTACCTGATGAAAATTTTTTTGAAGAAAAGTTTTTTGTTTCAAAGAATTGAACAATATTTTTCACCTGAACTTTGGAATATCCTGAAGAATAGGAATTTTGTTTAGTAATCTGCTCTGGTGCAGCCTTATCTAAACTGTAAAAAGCACCTATTGTCCTGTGATGAAAGCCTTCTCAATCTAATTTAAACTGAGATTGGGGGATGTCAGTGTCAATGCAACTGGTGGGTATTACAAAAAGGGAGAGGATGGGAGGAAACTTTTTTGGGATTTACAGTGTGTAATTGGATGGATCTGCACTCCCTGGAAGAAGAGACTCTTGATTTTGTCTCCTCTTGTCTCGAGTAATGTTCTGAATTGCTTTGTTTATTATCCTTTAAACAGGAGAAAGTCTGAAAAATTGTCTCTTATGAAGATGTTAATTACAACTGACACAATCTCGCTGTCATAAACCATAAGCTATTTTCCTACTGATTAAGGTATTATGTGTTTTTCAACCTGCAGGAAACGTTGCTTTCCTTTGTTCATTATCTCCTGCAAGATGATGAGTTCTAATCAGGAGGAGGTCACTTTGGGCGCTTTTCTCCAGTATATTGAAGATATGGGGATGAAGGCCTATGATGGCTTGGTTATACAGAATGCATCAGACATTGCTCGAGAGAATGATCGCATGAGGAATGAAACAAACCTGGCTTACTTGAAAGAAAAGAGTGAAAAACGTCGAAAACAAGAAGAAGCAATAAAACGGTAAATATTTTGCTAAAAAGATGAGTGATCTGGCAGAGTGAATGAAAAGTGAGGGGTTCGGTCTCAGGTATGGGAAATATGTGTAGACCAGTTGATTTCCAAGCAGCTTGCTGGTAAAAGCAGTGCAGACCACTGACCCATGTCAGGCTTGTAATTGCACTTTACATTGTATAGGCGTGATAGTGAATGCTTCTTCCTCCCTCAATGGAAGAGAGTATTCCTGTCTCAATATATTCAGTTTGAGCTTGTGTGGCATCTTGAACAGGTGTCATTTGTAACAAAAAGTTTGGGTCTCAAGAATAAGAGATGTAGATCTAGTGAAAAATAGATTCTCAAACTCTCAGTGATTTTTAGATGGACAGTTTGTACTTTGTGCAAAGGTATATTTGTGTGTGAGCGAGACAGGGAGAGCCTCGCAGGTCACAATAAGCTCTCCTTTAGCTGATGTTTTAAATCTGGTAAATTTTCAAAGCTTTTTAATAACTATCTGAGGTTTTGCAAAAAAAAAAAAGTCTATTATTTGCGATTTCCTCTCCATTCTGTGAACTCTGAAGTCAGTAACAATCTTGCAATCATTTAAAGGAAAATGGATCAAGCCCCTGATGGGCAGTACCCAATAATGGCTCTTCTTGAACAGTTCCATTGATTTTAATTGACAGTTAATGAGGGGAGCACTTGCCTGACCTGACCTCTTGTGCCAGTGGATATCAATGAAATCTCTGCAGCCTCTTGGAGAGGAGAAGAAGGTTGAATGGAATATATATAAATACTTATTACATACACATTTGCATTATTTAAAAAAATGGGTTTTCTTGAAGTGAGGTTAAAATCATCCATCCAAATGCTATACTTTTATGTGCAAATGGATGGCTTGAGCACAAACTGAGAGACCCTTTGAATTTTTTCCCCCAGCATGAGTCTTCTGTATTTCAGTTTAAGTGATTAAATTTTGTGCTATGTCTTGGGTACTGTACATCCAGGTGTAACAGACATGCTGCGCTGTGAACATTCAAGCACTGCCTCAATAGTCTGATTATTTTGATGGAATATTAAAAAGAAAAGAGCAGCGCATACAGTTTGACAGAGGAGGGAGATAAAGGAATGTAAAGGAAAAATATGGCTGCTTTATGTTCCAGGAAGTGGAGCTTTTTGGATTGTCAGCAACTTAGTTGGAGTGATAAGAATAATGTAAAATTAAGGTGAATACAGCTAACTAGGCTGTACTCTGGCTAACCTGTTTGTGTGTACTTTTGTATGTGTGACCATAAAGGCCACTAAGTACCAGAACAGGGTTTTTTTTTTGAAGAAGTTTCTTGGGACATGAGAGAGTAAGTTGTAGACTGACCTGGTTCTTTGTAGTCCTCTAGCCAAGCTTCTCTACCTAACTTGAATGGTGGTAACAGTATTTCCTACTGTGGTTTGTTTGTGTGGTTTTGTTTATTGATCTTGGCAAAGTGATTTGATGAAGAGCTCTGGACAAATACAGATTATTTAGGTTGAGCCAAACCATGAAATTCTTGCTCATGCTAAACTGATATCACTGAGGACAGAGTTCTGATCCTCGGTGATATCAGTTCAACTGATCCTCAGCTGAAGACAGGATTAGGACCAGCAATGTAGTGGGTTTATTAGAGGAACAGCATGTATCTGCATGTGGATTGGAGGCATCAACATTTCCTGAATACTGGGCTCTTCTGTGGGAAACTGTGTTTGCAGTGGTCCCCTCTGATCCCTCTCCACCTGTCTTATCTCAGTAACACTGAGGGGATAAACAATATCTCTCTGAGGAAAAAAAAGTAGGAAAAACATCTTAGAAAATCTTGAAAAACATTCTCTTCAAGTCTTTTTCTCTGTCTCTTTCTTATGGAAACTCTTAGAGGTAAAAAAAAAAATAAAATGATACTTGTGATCCTTGATTAGAAAGACTAAAAGCAATGACAGACCAAGGGAGAACATCTGATCTGTCTAAAGCAACCATGATGTCTGAAGTCACTTAGGCTGATTGCAATTGAGTCTGTTCCCTGTAGTAACCTCCAGAGATTCATCCAAAACCATGTTATCTATTGAAACATAGCAGACAGGAAAGGTAGTGTAGGATTATTGATTTCTTCTTTGTTCTGTTCTATATTCCTTAAGTCTTTACCTTATCTTGATGGATATTTATATTATCCCTAATTCCTGATACTGTGGCCTAGATAGAAAGCGGTGCACATGTGCAGTGATAACAGTGCTACCAGTCTGGAGACTACCAACAGCTGCAAAAAATCTCCTTAGCAACAAGGGAGTCATCCCCTGTGATTAACTGCAGGTAGATTTTTGAGCAGGAGCAGGGGTTCCCACAAACACTCTTCTTTGGCATGTGGAGATGAAAATAAAGCAGTTGTAAGTCTTTGGACCTTATGAAAATTATCTGATAGTCCAATTATTGAATTGTTTTAGAAGCTAGTTTACCATTTTTGTATTTAGAAGCTATTTTAGTGTTCAGATGGTCTCTCTTAGAAGAAGGCTGGTTGTGTATATTAAAAACATAATAATGAGTAATGTATTAGCTAATAAAGTGGTGGTGTTCACACACAACACTATTTGGAAGCAGCTGTTATTTACCTAAATCATCTCATAACTATGCTGAATGACTTAAGTTCATTGAAATGCATTAGTCTGAGCAGTTTGAAAACAAGATCTGAAAAATGACCTGAAAAAAAAAATGTTTCATTGCACATTTTGCCTTCCAAAGAATACACTGTGTTGTCTTTCCTCAGTAGCACTGATGTACCTTCAGTGTGACTGCTGTCTCATCATGTGTGGCTCTGATAGGTTAATTGTGGGGAAAAATGTATGGATCTATTTTCAGGAGATAAACACAGTGTATTGGATTGGAAAAAAAAACCCAAGCAACTAGTCTTTGTCTGATCTTGCTGGGCTGAGTCAGCTGATCTGATCTGAATTTCTGACCTAATTTTAGTATGGTATTTAGCGATCATGCAGAGAAAATAAGGTTAATGTGCTGATTAGTAGCTGAGAGTAAGCCACAATAAATAAATATATATATATCACCTAATGTTTAGACCTTTTTCTTCCATCTTTTATTTGTCTGGTCTCATTACATGATCATGTCTATTCAGGCAGCTGTGTCCAGACCAAGAGAACGTACTGGCATATTTCCCACAGAGCCTATAAATTGCAAATAAAGTTATGGAGCAGTATCATTTTCACTGGCAATAAAGTTGCAGTACTGTGACATGTACATTTGCCATGATACAGTATCTGCCCTAGGCAGCATTTCTGGGAACAGAAGGTAGATTTGCCTCAGCTATTTTGGGTGCCAGGAAAAAGGTGAGTATTTGGAGTTTATATAGGGCATCTGTTAGAATGAGCAGTTGCTTTCTGATTCACCCATAATTGAAATACATGTATTTAGGTACTTTATTGTACATTGTTTTGTGTGGATACTTCACCAATGCTTTCCTTAATTGCACAAATACCAACTCTTGTAACGAACAAATAGCGAACCCTCCTTCTCTGAAGGCTCAGACATGTTGCAGTAATAGGTACACTTTTAAGAGGTGCATGCATTTAAAGTTCTGGCTTCTATTTTTTTAGGCATAACTTGAGCTACTGTTTCTGTCAGGGAAGTTGTTGTTTTGATTTGTATCACTGTGAAGATGTGACTGCTCTGGTGTAAAGCTGGTGGTGTTACTGGGCATGAATTTCTACCTGCCAAATCCTGGACTTAATCATCAAAATATTTACTTCTGCTGGTTTCCCTTACTTGTAGCTCATTCCCAGGATGTAAATGGCTCTGTGGAAAACCTTGTTTCTGCTTGTTGAGGGAAGTATCCAGGCAGATGCTGTCAATAGGAGGAGCTTTTAGGAGCACTGTTCTGTGCTAAAGCAAACAGAAATGGGCCAGCCAGCCAGTGGCAGAGTTAAGCTCTTGTAGTAAAGAAGGAATTGTAATGAACAGCTGTCATCCTAACCTCTCCTTTCTTTGGCAAATCAAGTATTGAAGACTAACCCATCAGCAAAAGTAAGATCATATTTTTCTCTTACCTTTTTTTTTTAAGTTGTGGAAGTAATTGAATTCAGGTATTATCTGTCTTCAGTGTTCTGTAGTTCCTATCCTTAATTTCCTTCATGAACAAGACGAAAATTATGTGTCCTTCAGCTAAAAGTTGTGTTATCGAGCGTGGGTGACAGCAAGCAAATATAAAAATATTTCTATGCATGGGATTATTCACTGCCAAAAACTCTGTTCAGCTGAGAAAATGTGTGTAATCTTAGACTATATGGACATGCTGAAGTGTTTCTGCCAGAGTAAAAAATAACCTAAATAAAATAATTTCATTATGAACTTAATGTTCTTAATAATGTCTTGAAATCAGAACAATACTCTGGGTGAAAGAATTCTTAAAGCACTATTTCTTCTTTTTTTCTGAACATTTATCTGTACTTTAAAGTCTGTAGTAAATTACACATTTCTAAGTTTTTAGGAATAAAAATTCAGGCTTGCTAGATTATAATATCCTTATAGCCTGACATCAAGAAAAAGGTGAAGGAAGTGCCATAAATATTTTGGATCATAGTGAGAGCCTTGGTTGAAATACTGCAAACACATTATTGAGATGTTATATATTATAAGCTTGTAACCTGTTATTGTCTTGGTGTGTTGGTGAAGGGGTTTTTTCTTTCTGTGTATTTTTGTTTGGTTTTTGTTGGTTTTTGTTTTTAATTAAAATCTGAGTTCACTCAGTGAACGTGATTTTTAGATATGAGGTCAGTGGTACATGCTCCTTTTAATCAAAGGGTTTGTGTTATGAGGAAGCTTAACTGGGGCACTGGTTGTTTTCTTTATCTTCCTCCTGGACATGTTGCATGCTCATTTCATCCTAGATTAAGTTATTGCTCTGATACCACCATTACAGTGGAAGTGGCTGACAAAGTGTGATAGAGACTTATTTTACCGTGATTTCAAAACCTTTTTCTCATGAAAATATCATAGG